CGTCTGAAGGCGGACGGCATCAAATTTGTCCTGTGAGAAAGCAGTCAACGCGTTAATCAACTCAGTACTTCGATTTCCAAAAACATGTACCATGTGTTTTCCTAGCGAAATACACGCAGCGCGACGCACCATAATTTCTTTATCGTTACAAAGTTCAATAAACAGGCTCATTAACTGCCCTTTAATTGCTGTAGACACGTGAGGGTAGGCAGTGGCGATAAGGTACGATGCACTTGATCGACATTGCGTAGTTGCTTTGCCAAGTCGATGCACCAAATCAAGAAAATCACGTTGCGCCTGCGCAGCCGCTTCGCCTGTCTCACGAAATACCTGCCCACCAATTGTCTGCAGCGACGTTACAGCTTCGTCACGAACGGTAATTTCATCTAAACTGCTCAACAACTCCAGGGGCGTCAAAATGCTCTGCAAATGGTCGGCACCACCCACTTCTTGCAGCATCGTCCCCAATGCATTGGCAAAAACCCGTAACACCACTTCGTTCTCGTCCAGATAGTCGGTAAGGTACGGCAATAACTCGTCACGAGTGCGCTCGGGTCCAAGAGTGGAGGCAATGAGGTGAATGCCGCGCATGCTTGTCAGCCGTTCCTCCGGATCCTCCGAGCGCAGGTTATTAATCATTGACTTGACAGAGTCAAAGTGTTCAGTCATCTCCTTTCCCTTTTGCTAATAATAAATAATAATAATAATAATAATAAATAATGCCGTTCTTCCCTTGTTGTGCAATGCAAGCCACTCGACGGATGGTCTCCTACCTGCCTCCTTGTTTCTTCCTTAGAATTTTTGTTTTTGGGCCTGTCCTCCGTGCAGAAACAAGCAGATCCGTTTTTTTTTTCTCTCTCTTTCTCTCTTCTTTTTTGTTTCTCACCGTATTTATGTCGTCAAAACAACACCAGCGAAAATAACGCAAATACTTTTTTTTTTTTTCTTTTTTTTTGCAATATCACCACTGTGGCCTCGTCTTCTCTTTCGCTAACAACACGCAGAGAAAAAAGAGAAAGACGTGCAGCACAACTGAGAACAGACTCAAAAAAAAAAAAAAAAATCCCTTTCCCCCCTCCACACACATAAACACAAAGATATATATATATATATATATATATATAAGAAATAAAAAGATATTCCCACCTCATTGCTCTTCGTATTGAATTTGTTTCTTTCATTAAACTCTGAAAAGGGACATGAGTGTCTTATCAGTTTGTATGATAGAAGAGGCGTGTAGGATCACTCCTTACACCGGTAAAAGTGGAAGCCATACCCCATATTTCTCTTCCATTCCTTCCTTGCACGTATAAATATATATATCTGGAGATCCATTCTCTTTGCTCTGGTCCCTCCTCCGCAGACATCTCTTCCACCACATGTCTTCCCTTTCAAAACAAAACAACAACATAATAAAAACAAAAGGCAAATATATTTTTTACTCCTACTTCATTTTTCTGCATAATTAATCGCTGCGTTTGTTACAGGAAGAGTCTGAGAGATGTACACACACACAGACACACAAAAGAAGGAGAGCAGAGTTCTGCTTTCGCCTATTCGCCGTGCCGCCCCACACTCCCACTTCCTCTGCGCGCTACTCATCCGTTTCGTCAGTGACGCCGGAATTGTTCTTTTTGGCTTTATTGCCGTTATTATTCTTTGCGCTCACGTGAACGGCGGTGACGCTGCCGTCAGCCCCATCCCCCACTGACGCATGGATTTTTGCCTCCACATAACTTCTCGCACGGGTCTTGACCTTTTCAACATCCGCTGGTGAGCCGTATGCCCGCTCAAATGACATGAAACGTGTGAGGAACTGCTGCATCACCTTTGCTGAGAAGTTCGTGGCAACTGCACGTTCAAGTAAAGCCCGCACGAGGGGCACCGCGGCGGACTCGTCACGGCGCACAAGGAGAGCCATTTCCTGATCCAAGTACGCCGACCACACATCCGACTTCTTCGGCATGCGCACAACAAGACCTTCAAATAACGCACGACCATTCTCAACACTGCCACTCTTGTACTCATGGACGGCAAGGCGCACAACCGTCAGAGAATACGCGTCACGACGTAGAGCACCGCCCATGTCTTTTACCATGCGCCTCAACTGATCGCGTTTTTTCTGGTCTATAAGCACCTTACCAAGTCGCTCCCACGTGCGTTGCTCATTGCGAAACTTGGACACCATGGTGCGACACAGGGCCAGGAGTTGATTTGGCTTGCGTGTGGCGGAAAAGATGTCGGCGAGACGTTCATACACGACAAGTTGGTCAGGAGCACGTTGCAGCGCTCGCTTAAACACTGCCGAAAGAGACTCCACCGTACCATGAATATTCTCAAGATTCATGTAGGCCACCCAAACATTCAGACGTTCCTGCGTCTCACGAACACCAATGGTACTCAGCGCCTTTTCGGCCACAAGACGGGTTTCTTCCTGCTGCTGGAGAGCAACATGATGTGCCATCCATTGGACCCACAAATAACTGTTGTTTGGAGCAGCCATAAGTAGCCGCCGGAACTCATCCGGCGAGGATGGCACAGCCGTTCCCATAGAACGCTCGTATGCATCAATAGCCTCCTCAATTTTTCGTTTGCGCAATTTCTGTTCCCCACCTCCATTTTTGTCGGTGGTGCCATCATTATCATCAATGCTATCGTTTTCGTCGCTCTCAGTTTCAGGATGTCGCTGCTGCCGCTGCTGCTGTTTCCCTCCAAGTGAATGTTGTCTCTTGCGGTCACGCCAGGGAAAAAGACCAAGGAGTCCTTTCATTCCCGGTGGCAATGGTGCCCTGCGCCAATGCGGCAAAGTGAAGACGGTACGGTTGTTGGAAAGCACAAGAAACGGGAGAACCTCCTGCAGCAGTGATCCGTGCGGCACAAATTCAATCACGAGTTGCATAGAAGCCCCCACGACGGGTGGCTCACTGGACGCGGCGGTCCCATGCCAATTGTAAACATAGTACCCAATCAGACTGCTTGCACCACACGGGACCTCAACAATGGCGCAGTGATCGTCCGTGAGTGAAAGCAACACTGTGGCTGGCACCACATCACCTGCCTGCAGACCTGAGAAAATTGTCTGCATGGCGATCACATCGCTAGGGGTGCGTTCCACCACCTCCGTCCGTGCGGTGACATTGGCAACGCCAGTCTGAACGTCATAATTCAGCAGGCGCACCTCCACCGCACCGGCATGCGCATCGACATGTTCAAGCGCTGCCAGGGCAGTGAGACCACCGGCAATCGACAACACCGCACCACGCTCAGGGGATGCCTTCACAACACGCGCCATGGTGGTGGTGCCTAGACCAATAAGTACGTTTTTGCGAAACAAATTGGGGAGTAACGTGGCCACTGGCGGCGGGTACGTTGCGACATCGCTCCACAGCTCACGCAGTTGTATGCTAAGGATACGATACTGCTGCGCATCACGCGTGCGCCTTGCCACGGCCCGCACCTGTTCGCGCGACGCAAGGCGTTTGAGAAGTTTCTCCGCAAGGAGATCACCTCCTAATGTCTCAACCGTCAATCTGCCAAACCCGCCATTGCCCGGGAGCTGCACGACAATGCCGTCTGGCGCAGCGTGATGCACGCGATAGTCGCGAAACAACATAAAATTTAAATTCCTCTTTTCTGTGTGTCTGTGTGCTTGCGAGTGCGTATCTATCCTCCGTGTGTTTCCCTCCTTTCAACTAACAACCACGACCACCACAAAAAGAAGACTTCTTTCAAACCAATAAGGATGAGTGTAAAAAAAAAATATATATATATATATATTTGGTGGGGCGGGTGGGGAAAGACAAGAGCGTAATATATATATATATATATATAAATGCATGTACTCCCTTTCCCTTCTTGTTTTAGGCCGATACTTCACTTCTTTTTTTTTCCCCCTCTTCTCTTCTCTTCATTCAATGACAGTTTATTGTTTTCTTATTATTATTGTTTTGGTTACACGGAAGATCAGGAAAGACATTTTCATAACGTCATGTTTAAAACTTCTCCCCGTCACGTATACCCACACATATCCCTCTCTCTCTCTCTCTTTATGTGTGCACATATATATATATATGTGTGTATACATGTAATACTTCATATATATAAATATACAAAGAGTGAGAAACAACTTTCCCCATCTTCAGAAAGTTACTAACGCCTGCGTGAGAAAAGAAGAAAAAAACAAATAAACAAACAAAACGACAAAAAAAAAAAGAGAAAAGAGAGAAAAGAGAGAAAAGAGAAAAGAAAAAAAAAAAAAGGGAGTGATATGAGTGAGTCTAAAAAATAACACCAAAGACTTCCCAACGCATGCAAAACGATAAAATATCACATGAACGCAGCCGCCTTACATCTGTCCGTGTTTCTCCCTCCCTCCCTCCCTCCTTCCTTCCTCTCTCCCTCTCTCTTGGGTATTCATGCACTTACTTCTCTCTTTTATTTAATGTTGTGTTATGAACCTTTTTTTTTTCTTTTTTCTTCTTCGTTACTTCCCCTCCTCCTCCTCCTCTCATTCCGCACTCCGGCGGCAAACACGTGTGTGCATGTCATTAAAGCAAGGCGTACAGACGTATGTTTCAAGTACACCCCGTGTTGAATCAATCAATAAATATAAATATAAATATATATGAGCAGCATTACACACACACAACACACATTTGTTCACTTAATTATCTGCATGTATACATGTGTCTATTTAAATAGAAACTCCCGTTTTTTCCCTCCCCTCAAAAAAAAAAAAAAAAAAAAAAAAATCCACACAAATGATAGGTAAAAGATAGAGCACGTTTGCCGTCAAACTGGCTGATGTCAATTTATCAATTTTATCCTTCTTTTACCTTTACTTTTTCACTTTGCATGCAATGGAACCTTCTTAATGGCTATCTATCTATCTATCTATATATATATATACATGTGCGTAAAATAATGGTGCAACAGAGTACGCACCAATAAACAATACAAAGGAAAATAAAACTGGCGAAGATCACATTATACACACACTGTTCTGGATGCGTCCGTGTGTTAGATGTCACCTCCAAAAAAGAAAAGAAAAAAGAAGCGGGAAACGCAACACAACACAAAAGCAAAACAAACAAACAAACAAAAAAACAAGCCCGTGATGCTGTCATCTCTGTTGCAACAGCAATATTTGCACAATCAAACTCACAAAAGTCTGCTGCATTAAAAGCGGTGCCGTACACCCTCACGGACACACGGGGTGAATTCCCCCCCCCTTTTCTTTTTACTCACTGAGAATGGAGGAGAGGAAAGAGGAACACAAATACATGCGTGTCCATTGAGGGGGAGAAGAAAGGAAAATAAATAACAAAAACAGACATACACACACGCCAAAGGAGAAATAAATGGAAAGAGAAAGAGAGAGAGAGAGAGAGAGAGAGGGTGGGAGTGAACATAGAAAGAACACAACAACAACAACAGGGAAAACAATATAAAAAATCATAAAGGACATAACAAACCAACTCTTGCAGTTACTTCTGTGATAAACAGGCCATGCACGGCGACCGACACACACACACACACACACACACACACACACACACACACACACACACACACACACACACACACACACACACACACACACACGGATTTTCAACGGCGCCTTTCAGAATCGCTCACTCGCTTTACGCTTCAAGTACTCCTCTCACACCCCGCCTTCAAAACACTCCCTCCAACAGAAATTACACAGTTCAGTTCAACTCCTTTTGTCCCCCACCGCGAATCGGCTTCACGATAATCCCATGGCCCATGGCAACGGGGGAGTCTGCAAGTGAACTGGGTTCCCGTGACGTCAGCGCGGCTTCTAGCGTTGGTGTGCTGCTCCTGTGTTCATTACGGTGCCTCCCGTTATGTTTTCTACTGCGGGTGTGAGAGTTATTAAGCAGATCATCGTATAGCTGTCGCCAGTGAAGAGCATCGTTGCGTGCGTCCTGAAGCTGGGCTTGATGACAAACCCGTTCAGCTTCCAGTGTTCGCTGCAGCTCCTGTTTTGCCGCACACTCTTGCCGCAGACCGTGTTTAAGGGTTTCAATGCGTTCATGGCGGATGACCAACTTCTTCTCTGCGAGCTGCAGCTCCAACGTCAATGCCCCGTTCAAATTTCGCAACTTCTCCACCTCATCCATGACAGCCTCCATGCGATTCAGCATCATACCCTCATTTTGGTCCCCATCGCCGCTATGGTGGCCGGTCCAGTCATTGTCCTCCATTTCTCGAATACCGTCGAAGACTGCTGCGGTGACATTGTCGCCACGCCGTAAACCCGTCCTTTCGTAGCGTGGCGGGATGATAACAAATGGTTGACTCTCCACTGGGCATGATTTCCTGTCACTCGTTGATTTTGTATTCCCCCTTGTGCCCTCAAGAATACCCGTGCCTGCGTGT